TGTTAAAAGCATGTGATGACTTCGCCGGTTTAGCGAAAAAAAAAACGACACGTTCGGTAGAATTTGAATCCACTTGAAGCTCAACACTTGCATAGTTATGAAGTTTTTTACCTTCTGCAACAGGTGTTGCCGATTGTATGTATCCATTTAATGTTTTGAACTTTTTATTCGACATAATATAGTTTTGTTTATTTCTTAGTATAGAAGAAAGAGTGATAAAACTGTTAATGAGAATGAATGAAATACGTCAAATGAAAGACTTTTAATTATATCTTTAGACGTTAGGAACAGGCGCAAACTTTTCTTTTTAAAATCGAATATTCAATAATGTATTACACATTTAAGAAAACTAATATCTTTTAATTTTTTTTTCAAAACTTTATAATTCATAAATGAAGTCAAATTTATTAAATAGTCTATTATTATAGTTAAATTAGCTCATGCAATAAGATAGGCAAAATCCATAAAGAACAAAGTTTTCACAAATTCAGTAATGAATTCATTAGATCATCTGAATTTTAAATTGTTTAAAAATTTTTAGAATTATTTAACAAATGAACAAATAAATGATTTTAACATAAGATTGCAATATTTATAATATAAAATTTTTGACATATTGCTTTGATTTCCAATAGAATCGTTGTTTATCAACGTAAAAAAATAGAATAAAAAAAAAAAATTTTGTGTAGAATCTAACTAACAACCGCGCAATATCAGTATCGTTTGTATGTTTTTTTTTCTTGGAAAGAAGTATTTTAGTTTAAAAAAAAAAAAAAAAACATGTGAAAAGTGAAACTACGTATTTAAAGAATAAATTATTATTTTATATGATAGTATTTATTTCAATTTAAAAACATTAATAAAAAAGAGACAAGTAATGGTATCTATCACAAGTTTAGTCAAATATATTTGATTTAATGTAGTTTTATTTTCTTTGTACTGATGTTTGAATACGTAAGACATGAACTTTTGTAAAAAGATAGTAATTATTTCTTTTCAATATGTCTTGCAAGATATACATCGTACAGATAAGATTCATGACATTTTCGTTCATGTTCAATATTAAATAATGATAAATATTGCATATTAATTTCCTTTGTTTCGAGCCAATTTGTTGCACATACAACAAGCCATGGACCGCAATTTCGGCCATCTCTCTGTAATATTTGTTGAAAGTTAGATTGAATTTGATTTTCATTTTGTATAAAGTTACATTTCATTAAAGTATTGACAATCGGTTCAGGTATTGCCTGACCGAGAGGGTCAAAATAGAAAACATAATAGGCGTTGTTTGCTTGTTCAGGATATACAATAATTAATAATATCCAATGTAGTTGATCAACATTCAATGGAATAATAAGTTCATTAATTTGTGCATATGAACTGTCAACATAACGTTGACGTTGAAATGCATTAATAGCATCAAATAATTCATTATTTGTATCAAAATTTTCATTAATAATATTAGTTCCTAGAATCGGAGTAAAAATATAGACATATCGATTGTTTCTTAATAAATCATGTTTTCTCATCTCAAATGCTTTTTCAAGAAGATCCTGAATATCTTGATAGCTATACCATGAATTATAATTTGCTATATATAAAGCACGAATATATTCGATAACCTTATCTTCATCCAAGATATACGAAGAATTTCGTGGTATATAATCTTCATTTTGACTTTCTTCCAATATTTTTTTTTGTTTTTCACTCAATTTTTTTAATTTTATTTCTTTCAATGTTTTTTTTCTTTTAACTTGATTCTTTCTATTATTTAATTTCTTTTTTTTAGAACAACAATTTGCTATTGAATTCCATTGCAAATTGTCAATATCTTTTTTTTTTATATGATTATGAAAGGAAGTTATTTCTTTTGAATTTATATCGGTTTCAAAGAGTTCGAGCATCAAAGCATTATGATAAGAAAAATACGCTGGTATTATACTTATTTTTTCTTTTAAACCAATATTTTTAATAAAAATACAATCTAATGATGTATTACCAATAGTGGTAGCTGCTGCATCTAATTTTTTAAAGCCTTGAATCTTAAAGTAATTATGAATTGGTGTATTTATTTGATTTGTGTCTTCATTAAAATCTCCAACAATGATATGCTGACTCTTTTCATCATTAATTAAAGCAACTTGATGATCGAAATTAGTTATAAATTGTTTTGAATTTAGATGTGGTGGTTTATAAACTGTTGTTACAAAGCATACTTTATTCAAAATATTTGTTTTTATTGTTAGAGATTCAATATCACATAAAGGTAAATTAAGTTTTTCAAAATATGTATTATTGTGTATAAAAATTCCAACTCCACCTCGATCACGTTCACTAAAATTTGAATTACTATATGAATCGGATCGGTTTTGAGTAATTAATGTAAAATTTTCTAATTCTGATTGACAAGTGCAAGACTTTAACCAAGTTTCATTAATACAAATAATATGACAACTTTTATACCAATGATGATTTTTAATATGATCATAATGTGCTTCAAGGCCTTCAACATTATGAAAACCTATTCGAAATAAAGAGGCATCTTCCATTTGAGCATACTGATACGACATTTTTCGCATTTTACTAGTGGATTCTTCTATACGTTCATCGCAAAAAAATGCCTCATCTTTGAACTGTGTAAGATAAACTTCTTCACCTTTAGGCGGACGTGTAAAAGCAACATAACCTTGTCCTGTTTGATTAAATTTTTTTAAATCAATTACTACTGATTTCACAGTTAGACCTTGTACTTTATGAATAGTTGAAGCCCAACCTAATCGTATTGGAAATTGTTCCGTATTTTTTCTTTGTCCATCTTCATCCCATGGATTATTGTATCTTTGAATACAAACAGTCTTTTCTTTTCGACAAATTTCACAAATTTTTTGGTGTTGACGTCCGCAATCAGGATTATCAAATTTAATTCTGATATGATCAACAAAATCTTTTTTATTAGAATCAAAAACAATTTCAACAACATTTCCAAATGCTCCTTTAACAATACCATCATCTCGATTAGCATTTTCTTCTATTACAATTCGGGCATTAACTGCAATTCTTAAATGTTCATAATCACAGGTATTTAATTTCTTTTTTCTTTTTCTGGCTAATTGGTTTTCAGTGTTTTTTATTTTTTTTTGCAGGTATATCAACAATGTTTTTACATTTCAATGATAACATATTCTCATTATGTTCGTTAACAAATTTATTCCAAGCAAACAAATGTAAGCAATCGTCTTGATAGATTTTTGAATTATATCTATTAACACACCGTTGTAAAATTTGTCTATCTTTTTCAGAGAAAGTCTCCTTTTTTGTTTTCTTACGAATTCGATTTGCTAGAGCATAAAAATCTGCTTCTTTCGTTCGCTGACAAATCGTTAATTCAGAATATTCGAATAAATTTTGCCAATAATCTATTACATTAATTGATAAATATAGAGGAATTCCTTTAACTGGTGGTAATTGATAAAAATCACCTACGGCAACTATAGAAACATTTCCAAAATAAATATTGGAACCAGTTTTACATGTAATTTGACTTAGTCGTGTATGTAATTCTCTCCATAAAGACTGATCAACTAACGAAATTTCGTCAATAAACAAAAGACATAAGGAATCTAATTTCGATCTCATAGTGTTTAGAATATTTTCGGACAAGTTGAAATTTTTCATACCAATTTTAAACGTACTATGCATAGTTGTACAATTCATATTAAGTGCAGCAGCATTTGTAGGTGCACATATTAATGTACGAATTTCATTACTGTTATCATTATTAATTTCATTTAATATTTTAGTCGCTTCATAATATATACATTTTAATAGATGACTTTTTCCAGTGCCAGCTCCACCAGTGATAAAAAGACGTAAACAATCTATGTCTTGATTAGCTCTTTTTCGAAGACACCAATCTCTCACATAATAAAATATGTTCAGTTGTTCATGTGTCATATTTTTTAACATTGATCGAATTTTTTCGGGTTGATATGTTGTAGGATGAATTTCATATACATTTTTTTGTTCATTTTGTTCCTTCTTTTTAGATTCTAATAAGTATTCAATATCAGGATTTTTATCCGTATCTAATTCTGTTAACTTTTTATACTTGATCTTTACATGATCACTAATCTCTTCGTTTTGAAGTTCAGATTCTGCACAAAGAACACCCCATGCATCCTCAGGTATATTATTCTCAGTTATATCTTTCACTGCTTCTTCTAATTGTTTACTTATTTTAGATTCATATCGTTCCCGATTCGATAAAACAATTTTCTTCACAGAATTTATTGTACCACTAACAAATTTAATATAACCATTATGAAAAAAATTGCTGTATGGTTCTTGTATATCAGTTTCTTTTCGAATAGGTAAAAAAAGTCTCATTAAATTATGATAAAATTTTTCCTCATCATCATTAATATCAATACGAGGATATCTAATCACTGCTTCCCGTTTGCGTTTATAAATTGCAAAATTTAATGTTTTTAATGGCCAAGTTTCTACTCGGGTTCTTGGATTTTTTTTATTGATAAATCCGAATTTAGCCACAAAATCAGCTAAACATATATCGAATAAAGCATTATCAGGTCTATCTAAATATTTATCCATGAAGTTACTATATAAAATATCATCATTGTCTTCTCGACCTTCAGCTATCATTTTCCTTATTAAATTTAATGGTTTAGACAAACGGAAACAATCAGGATCAGTTGGAACAAATTCAACTTTTCTACTAGCTTGTTTTAATTTTAAACTACATACACGATAGATTGCTTCTTGAACACAGACTTCTCTATGATGAAAATATACACCTGAAAGAACTTTCATTTCTTCTTGTATCGATATATTTTTTTCTTTTGCTTCCTGATGAACATTTTTTAATATATCACTCATTTCTTTTTCAGCTTTACAGATATACGATAACATATATTTTCCGCAAGCATATGCGTTCATCACATACTGTATATCCATATTTGCGTTCCAATTAAGAATACATTTTTCATTATAATTATTTACCCATCTATCTTCTGGTGCACGTTTAAGTACAACAGTATCTGCTGGTAATATGTTTTCTAATGCTCGTTCATATTCATCATAACTCCATCCAACTTTTACGAGTGAGTCATCGAAATGATTCCAATTTAAAACAATATTTTTATCTTCTATGTCTTTTAGATAAATATTCATCTCTTTTAATTTTGTTTTAATATTATTCAATTGATCTGTCTCATCATCATCATTGTCATCACCAACTTTAAACTTTTTATTAACAATAAATGTTCGTCGTGATATTGGTTTCGGAAAGTAAAATCGACAGACTTTATTACGTCTTTTACATGATTTTGAATGTGATTTTGAGTGAGTCTGTACTTCCTTAATAATTTTATATAAATGTAAATCTTTTTCATTTGGCATTTTACATGTTATATATTTATCAATAAATGTTATTACTTCTTCATCTGAATTTTCTCTATATTTTGGTGCATTCTTTATCCAAACAATCATATGAATATGAGGTGAGCCTCTTTTTTGAAATTCAACTCGATAAAAATAATCACTCACTTCACCTAATGCTGCAAATTTTGATAAAATAATGTTTCTCATAAAACTTCGAAACCGTCTATCGAAAATTCGAGAAACAATCACTGGATTAGTTTTCAATAAGTAATTCGTTTCATTCCATGTATATTTATTTTTTCTTGCTATATTATGATAATCTGCTAAATAATGAAGTAAATCTATCCAACGTGCATCAGCAGCAGAAAAACTACAAAACCATGTTGGTACTCCTAACTGTCTAATCATAGCAAATAATTCAGATAATGTAGATGACCAATACTGTGGTGATCCTCTAACTTTTAATAGATGTTTAAAAATCATATCTTTCTTTAACATATTAGACAAATATTTTTTATCAGAAATATTTTGAAGAGTAAACTGTGATTTTGAACAACTTTTTCTTAATTGTAAACTAATACCAGAACTTGCATGTTGAATGTCATTCAAATATTGTAAAAAAAATATATAATGTGGATCTGATGCATATCGATAATCAGCACTAAATAGACGTTGATTTGCATAAGTACTAAATTTTAGTTTTCTCTCTCTTTCTTGATCATATGTATTTTTTCCGTCAGGAAAAAGATGAGGAAATGCTTTTGCTTCTAAACCTTTTTCTCTTAATAATGAAGCTGGACGATTCTTTTCAGCTGGTGCAATAGAAATGACATCTTGTTCAAAATCAACATAATCTTCTGCAATATTAGATTGAAGGCAAGTGTCAGTTGGTATTGAAAATTTCTTTCTAGGATCTCGTTCATCATCTTCCTCATCTCCATAAACATCTTCATCTTTATCTTCATTCTCATTATTCTCTTTATTTTTTTCTTTTAGAGACGAAAATATACGTTCATCATTACTCAAATTACTTATTAAATGATCATCCCAATTAAAGTAATCATAATCATTGTCATCAATTTTTATATTTTTGTAATTTTCGTTTATTTCACATAGAATTCTTAATGCACTTCGTACACGATCCGGACATATCATCTGATACTTATACCAACCTCGATAATTCAACCGACGTTTTAGTTTTAATCGAATGAATGCAGATTTACTTGGATGTCGCGGTAAAATATTAGCTGTATCTTGTACCTCAGAAGGAACACATATAACTGGACCTTTGCATCCTTTTTGTCCCCCTTTCGGTAAAGAGATCATTTTCATGAATGGTAATCTTAAAGCAATAAGATGTCGTTCTAAATCATTTAATATTCGAATATCATCAGGAATATGTTCTCCAACCATATTATTAGCTACAACAGATCTTGGTGGAATACCTCCTTTCCAAAGAATGTTGTGACACGCCGTGCAAATCCATTCTGTTCTTTTACAAGAATCAAATGCATCTTTATCCACATAGGCCCCTGTAAAACATGTCATAGTTGATGACCAAACATTATCACTAAATTTCGTTTTATATTTTTCTCTATGACACTCTTTAACATCCGTTTGAAACATGCATCGGTGACAAACAGTGCAAACATATTTCGGCATTTGTTGAATATATTCACGAAATTTTTCTTCATAAAAATCTAGTTTTCTTTTCTTTTGATTTCTTTGCATAAGATATTTCTCACGAATTTGTTTTGCCATTGTTGCATATAATTTAATTTGATTTGTTTTAGTTTCTTTCACAATTTTAAATAATTCAATTTGATTGACTGGACCATTTGTGGTATCATACGTATTTAGCAATTTTCTAGCGGCATTCTCTAATCGTTGAAGATTGTTTCGATATTTTTGTCGAAGAGAAAATAGTTTATGCTGCCTTTTTTCTAAAATAATGTACTGTAAATAACTTTTTTTCTTTTTTTGTTCTCTAATATTGCTGTTTGTTTTATAAGTTTCTCGTAATTGTGTGCATTTTTTTTGTCGTACAAGTTCATTTGTTTGATATCTATTGTATAGCTGCTCACATTTTCGTTTTTGAAAATTTTCATCTGATTGATATCTATTTAATTGTTGCTCACATTTTCGTTTTCGAGCATTTTCGTTTCCTTGATAAATATCTTTTAGATGACAACATTTTTTCTGTCGTAACAACTCATTTTTTTGATATTTCTCTCTTAAAATATTACATTTTTTTTCTCGTAGCAAATCATTTTCTCGATATTCTTGTCTTAAAATATCACATT